GCGGGTGGCCGGCGGGACGGGCCGAAGCCCACTGGGGAGTTCTTTTAGAAAAAGAACCAAAACCAAAACCTGAAACATCCAGCACGCCGTGCACCCCTGCAAGACCACAGGGGGCGGCGGATCGAAGACGCCTACGGCGAATCACCGCCGCCCCCTGCCTTTTTGGAAGCGCCTATGTGGCCGAACGTTGAGGCCAGACCTGCCAAGCTATCGGACCACGTGTTCCCCGAATCGGTTTGGAAAGCCTTCGGGGAACACGTGGGCATCTTGAAGGTCATCTTGGCCGTCTTGGAGGCCTCTTGGGCAAGCTTTGGGCGATCTTTGGGGCTTTTTGGGCCGTCTCGGGCCAGCTTCGAGCCAACTTCGGCCATCTTGGTGGGTTCCTGGCACGTCTGAAGCCGTCGGAAGCCGTTTGGGGGGCCTCTATGGGCCGACTTGGGGCCCGCTTGGAATGCTCCAGGGCCGTCTTGGAGGCCATCTTGGGCGTCTGGGAGGCCATCTTGGGCGTGTTGGAGGCCTCTTGGGCCCTCTTGGGGCCCTCTAGGGGCCATCTTGGAGGCCACTTGGGCCATCATGGGGCTCTCTTGGGGGCCTCTTGGGCGATCTTGGGGGCTTCTTGGGCCGTCTTGAGCCGTCGGAGAGCCGAAAAGGCGCAAATGCCAAAATCCTTCAAAAACCAAGGGAAAATCAATGATTTTGGCCTCTTCGGACTCTCCTGGAGGACCTCTTGGAGGCCTCTTGGGCCGTCTGGGAGGCCTCTGGGGGGCCTCTTGGGCCGTCTTGGGCCGTCTTGGACTCTCTTGGGCCGTTTTGGAGGCCGTCTTGGACCATCTCGGGCGGACTTGGAGGCCATCTTGGGCCATCTTCGCGATTTTTTGAGGATGTCCCGAGCGAAACGGCCGTTTTTGGGCATTGACAGACGGATTTTGGGAGATTCGCGGGTGGCCGGCGGGACGGGCCGAAGCCCACTGGGGAGTTCTTTTAGAAAAAGAACCAAAACCAAAACCTGAATCATCCAGCACGCCGTGCACCCCTGTGGCAAGACAGGGGGCGGCGGATCGAAGACGCCTACGGCGAATCACCGCCGCCCCCTGCCTTTGTGGAAGCGCCTATGTGGCCGAACGTTGAGGCCAGACCTGCCAAGCCATCGGACCATGTGTTCCCCGAATCGGTTTGGAAAGCCTTCGGGGAACACGTGGGCGTCTTGATGGTCATCGTCGCCGTCTTGGAGGCCTCTTGGGCGATCTTTCGGCGATCTTTGGGGGCTCTTGGGCCGTCTCGGGCCGTCGGAAGGCCGAAAAAAGGGAAATGCCCAAATCCATCAAAAACCTTGGGAAAATCAGTGATTTTGGCATCTTTTGGCCTTCCTGGAGGCCCTCTTGGGGGCCTCTTGGGCCCTTTTGGGCCAGCTTCGAGCCAACTTCGGCCATCTTGGTGGGTTCCTGGCACGTCTGACGCCGTCGGGAGCCGTTTTGGGGGCCTTTCTGGGCCAACGGGGGACCCTCTTGGGGCGCTCCAGGGCCGTCTTGGAGGCCATCTTGGGCGTCTTGGAGGCCATCTTGGGCGTGTTGGAGGCCTCTTGGGCCGTCTTGGGGCCCTCTAGGGGCCATCTTGGAGGCCACTTGGGCCATCAGGGGGCTCTCTTGGGGGCCTCTTGGGCGATCTTGGGGGCTTCTTGGGCCGTCTTGAGCCGTCGGAGAGCCGAAAAGGCGCAAATGCCAAAATCCTTCAAAAACCAAGGGAAAATCAATGATTTTGGCCTCTTCGGACTCTCCTGGAGGACCTCTTGGAGGCCTCTTGGGCCGTCTGGGAGGCCTCTGGGGGGCCTCTTGGGCCGTCTTGGGCCGTCTTGGACTCTCTTGGGCCGTTTTGGAGGCCGTCTTGGACCATCTCGGGCGGACTTGGAGGCCATCTTGGGCCATCTTCGCGATTTTTTGAGGATGTCCCGAGCGAAACGGCCGTTTTTGGAGGATTTTTTTCCGGATTGAGGTGTTTTCGGCTTCCTCCCGGGACCCCGGCGGGACGGGCCGGAGCCCACTGGGGAGTTCTTTTGGAAAAAGAACCAAAACCAAAACCTGACAGCTCATCCAGCACGCCGTGCACCCCTGCAAGCAGGGGGCGGCGGATCTAGTGGCCTTCGGCCTATCCCGCCACCGTGCCTGGGTGGTGGGTCAGAGGCTTCATGGATGTTGGTTAGGATCTCGTGGTTGGCCTCTTCGGGGCCTCTGGAAGGCAGTTTTGAGGCCCCCCCGGGCCTCTTGGGAAGTTGTGGGGCTCCTTGGGGCAAATTTAGGGGCCTCTTGGGGGCCTCGTTGGGGCCTCTTGGAGCTCTTTGGGAGCTTCTTGGGAGCTTCTTGGGGCCTCTTGGGGGCCTCTTGAGAGCTTCTTGGGGCAGGAGGGGGGGGGGGGGTACTCGAGTTCGGGACCCTCTCGGAGGCCACGATCCTCGTGAGGGGTGTCAAAAAATGCCCTCCCCAGAGACGCGGGTAGCCGCGACAAGCCTTAGGAGCCCCCCCGGAAAGCGGAGCACAACTCGTCCCCCCCCCCTCCCCCCCTTTCCCCGGCAGAGCCCCCCCGGGCCCCCCCCCCAGCAGAGCCGAAGCTCAGGCTGTAGGCTGTAGGCTGTAGCTGAGGCTTCTTCAATCTCTCAGCGAGCGAAGAACGGTATACAATAAACTTTTTCGCTGTCGGGGGCGCCTGTCCCTGGGCGGCTGGAAAGTTTATAAGTTTATACCCCTACGGTGCCACCGTAAAGGTATAAACTTTCCAGCCGCCCAGGGGCAGGCGCCCCCGACTGCGAAAACGTTTCTCTTATACCCTTCTTCGCCCGTTAAGACTCGCACGCCGGATCCGCGGATTTGACAGCGAATGTGCGCGGCGCTGAAGCGAGAGCCGCATTTGGAACGTTGCCCGCCCTCCATCCGTGGAGCTGCTGCTAACTTCTGAGCTTAAGGGTCACGACGTTTGAGGGGGCCTCGGGCGGAAAGGCCGGCCCGCCCTGCCGAGATTTTTCCGGGTGCGACAGGGAGGAGTTCCTTCTAGGGAGCAGAATGGAGGGCGATTAGGAGGAGGAGGAGGAGGAGGAGGAGGAGGAGGAGGAGGAGGAGGAGGACGGACCAGGGCGAAGGAGTGGGAGGAGGAGGAAGAAGAGGAGGAGGAGGAGGAGGAGAAAGAAGAGGAGGACAAGACGGAGGAGGAGGGAGGGAGAGGGAGGAGGAGCCCAAGGGGAGGCTCCTTCGCACATCCGTCGCGTTTCCTCCTGCGCGCCTCCACCCCATCCCTGTTTCCATTCCCATCCCCGTTCCCATCCCCATCCTCATCCCCATCCCCATTCGCCTTCAACCATTTGTGTCGGCCTCCCCCCTCCTGCCTGTACCTCTTACTCCTCTTTCTGAACGCCCTTGGGGCTGCATCCACAGCAAGGTCGTCGCACATGGGAGCGGCACATGATATGAACATGGCCCTGCGCAAGGATGACAAGCATACGTCGAGAAATGAAACATGTTCGCTCCTCAGCCTGCGCATGCTGTCCCTCGTTATCATAATCAACATCACCATCCTCATCATCCACATCAGTACCTGCATCATCAGCATCATCACCACCAGCAGCAGCATCATAGTCATCATCATCCTCATCAGCGTCACCCCCATCACCACCGTCATCATCATTACCCTCATCACCATCATCATCATCATCACCATCATCATCACCACCACACTCATCATGAGCAGCAGCAGCAGCATCGTCGTCGCCATCGTCATTGTCATCGTCATCGTCAGCGTCAGTAGCATCATCATCAGCATCATCATAGTCATCTTCATCATCGCCACCGTCACCACCACCACCATTGCCAACAGCATCATCATCATCATCATCATCATCATCATCATCATCATCATCATCATCATCATCATCATCATCATCATCATCATCATCATCGTTATCGTCATCATCATCGTTATTATCATCATGATCATCAGCATCACCATCAGCATCATCATCATCAACATCAGCATTATCAGCAGCATCATCCTAATCACCGTCATCATCATCACCACCATCAGCATCAGCAATCGCATCATCAGCAGCATCATCAGCACCACTATCATCATCATCATCATCATCATCAGCATCATCATTAGCGTTACCATCCTCAAATCAGCATCAGTATCAGCATCGTCATCGTCCTCGTCAGCGTCAGCATCATCATCATCATCATCATCATCATCATCATCATCATCATCAGCAGCACCAGCGGCATCATCATCAGCAGCAGCAGCACTATCAGCATCAGCATCAGTATCTGCATCTGCATCTGCATCAACACAATCATAGTCACCAGCATCAGCATCACCATCATCACCAACATCATCATCCACATCACCATCATCGTCATGGTCATCGTCATCTTCATCATAATCTTCATCTCCATCCGCATACTTGTTGTAGTATCGTCTATCCTCTTTCTCCTCCATCCTGGCCAGCCCTGCCTCTCCTCAACCTTGTTTGGCCCTCCCACGTAGGTCCTGGACCGCTACTCGCATGTGGTGCCATTGCTGCTACCTGTGGCAGACTTGGTGAAGAGGTGCTCCCAGGATACCGAGCTGTGCATGTGCGACAAGGGTCAGCAGGTGGACCCTGAGGCTGTGGACCAGTGGTTTGACAAGTACCTGCGGATCACATTCGGCGAGGACAGTCACAGGTATCTGATGATTTGCCAGGCGATCAGGACGAATCGCGCCATGCTCATCTTCGAGGGGCTGGAGGACTGCGGAGAGCTGAAGCCGATCATCGAGTGCTGCATCCAGCGCCAGATCCTCCAGCAGAGGATGGTGGTGGTCACATCTCGCCCGCTGATTGGGGGCCAGTCCTCCTTGGAGGAGATCGAGGACAGCATCATGGCCATGAGCGTGGAGAGCCTCACCGAGGAGCACATCCGCATGGTCGCGCACGCGCGGCTCGGCCTCAGCGGCTTCGAGGCCTTTGAGCGCATCTTCGCCAAGGTCCGAGGTGGCGGCGGCGAGGGCGAGGAGGCGGACGCGGGCGCGCCCCCCGCCGACCAGGGCGAGGGCGGCCAGGGCAAGCCCGAGGTGTTCGGGAACCCGATGATGCTGAGCATGCTGCTGTGCTACCTGCAGACGATGAAGCGCAAGGAGGCGGAGAAGCGGGAGGCACAGCGCCGGGGTCAGGCCGACGACAAGGACCCTGTGGCGCGGGCGGGGTGGCTAGCTCGAGGAATGGTGCTGTGATGCGGTGTGTGTCGTGTGTGTGTGTGTGTGTGTGGGTGTTGTGTCTGTGTTGTGTGTGTCGTGTATTGTGTGTGTGTGCCTGTGCCTGTGGGTGTGTTTTGTGTACGTGTGCCTGTGTCTGTGGGTGTGCCTGTGTCTGTGGGTGTGTCTATGTCTGTGGCTGTGTCTGTGTCTCTTTGGGTGTGTCTGTGCCTGTGGTTGTGCCCGTGCCTGTGTCTGCGTCTCTGCGTCTCTGTGTCTCTGTGTCTCTGTGTCTCTATGGGTTCGGACCCCTTAGCAGAGCGATCAGCCGACCACGTAGAGCAAGCTGACTACTCTCCGCAAGTGCCTGGCCACGTCCGTCCCGCGACCGACGGCACCGCTTGGGCACCGCTCCCGCGTCCAGAGGGATAGCCCCAGCGCCCCGGGCGAGGGCCGCCCCGTGGCCGCGGCCAGCAGCACCCCGCCTGCTGCTTCGGCGGCGTGCACCCCAAGGAAGCCCTCGCCTCAAGCCGACTCGGCTTCCCTCGGGCCTCATGCCGACTTGGCCATGGGAGCGAAGAATGACATGAACATGACAACTCGGAGGCCCGCGCGGATTTCTCGGATCCGCGCTGGACAACCCTGACGGCGCCTCTGGCGCCGCCCCTGGCGCGCTCCGCGCGCCAGGGAGGGGGGTCCAGCGCCGACGAGAGAACTCCGCGCGGGCCCCCGAGTTTTCATGCTTATGTCATTCTTCGTTCCCCTGTTGGCGGTGCGGCAGCGCCGCATGGCGGCACCAGCTCGGCGCGCAGCGACCTAAGGCCTCGCCCGTGCCGTCCAGGAGGATTACGGCGTCGACGTCGCTCGCGGGCCCTGGAGTCGTCGCCGTCGTGGCCCGGCGTGCGCCTCGCCCAGCGCGCTCATCAGCTCGTCCTCGTCGGCGTCGGGTGCAGCCGCCGTAAGCGAGCGCTCGAGCACCAGGCCCGCGCGCGCGCCGCCAGCCGCAGCGCCGCCCCCGCCCGTGGCCGCCACCACGACGGCCGCCGCGGCATCCACCAGACCGTCTGCCCAGAAGGCGTCGGCAAGGCTGCCACCCGCCGCGTCAGCGCCGGCTTCGGGTCCCACCCCTATCCGCCTCGCCCCCCACGACAGCGCCATCGCCGCCAGCTCCTCCTCCCTCCTCCGCACCAGCCCCGCGAGGAGGCTTCGCGCGTCGCCGACGCCGCCGAGCCTAGCGGGCAAGTTCCATCGGCGCAGCGTCCGCGGAGGGCTTCACGTCGTCCACCTCCATGCGGACGGCCGCCACGGCGCCGCCGCCGCCACGCCTGCGCCGCCGCCGCCTCGTGTGGGCTGCAGCGCCAGGCATGCGCGGGGCAGGTGCCGAGGGGCGGCTGCGAAGCGCCGCCACCGCGGCGCGCAGGTGGCCCTCGGCCGAGCGCGTCCGTCGCACCCCCCACGGGGAGTGGCCTTCGGCCAGGCCTGAGGCCGCATGGCCGGCGAGGAGAGCGCCGCGCGCCGCCTCCTCCGCGCACCGACGCTCCTGCATGAGCGTCCCCAGCATGACCGAGCAGCGACGGGCCAGAGACCGCGCGCCCAGCGGCACAGGGCTGAGCCAAGTGGGTACTCTGTGTGTGTGTGTGTGTGTGTCTGTGTGTCTGTCTGTCTGTCTGTGTGTGTCTGTGTGTCTGTGTGTCTGTGTGTCTGTGTGTCTGTCTGTCTGTCTGTCTGTCTGTCGGTCGGTCGGTCGGTCGGTCGGTCGGTCGGTCTGTCTGTCTGTCGGTCTGTCTGTTTGGCTCAAGGGGGCAAGCAGGGCCGGGCGCGGCCGGCCCAGCCCCCGCGCGCGCGCTCCAGGGTGCCGAATGGCAGAGGACGTGCGCTTGGATTCGATGCATGATGCTGAGCCTGGAGCACAGGGTGACATGGCAGTCGACGAGCCGGCGAGTCGACGCAGGCGCCGAGCAGCAGTCTGGGCAGTGGGCGTCCAGCCGCAGACAACGCGCCCGGCCACTTGCAAGACGTGCGGGCTCGTCTTCGGCGCCGGCGAGCTCCGCCTATGCCCTTGGGGTGCTCGCACAAGTGCGCGGTGGGAGTGCACAATCTGCTTGGTTGGGACCGTGCCGCAGGGGGCCGAGTTCAAGCCCCTCGGACGCGCCACCCAGGAGGATGCCGACGCAGCCCGGATGCGTGTGCAGGCCGCTCCCGAACAGGCAGCCCCGGGAGCTGCCTCGGCTGGGGCGGCCGCTGGAGAGGGCGCCAGAGCGCTCCACGCTGGCCAGCACGCCGCGCCCTTGCACCCAGCCTGGGAGGAGCAGCTCCTGCCCGACGCCGCCTGGTGGGACACGCTGCGCTGGGAAGATGCACTCAAAGCTGGCACGACGACATTCGTGCAGGTCCCGGACCGGTTCCGAGGAGCCCTCCAGGAGGCGCGGCACAAGGCCCTGGAGGTCCTCAAGCGTGCCCGTGGGACTTCGGAGGCCGAGAGCGAGTGGAAACTGGTCCTACTCATGGACATGTTCTTCCTGTTCAAGTCGTCCGAGGCGGCTACGTGTGGGGAGCTGCTCGAGGAAAGGCTCGCGTGGTTCTGGGGCGGGCAGTGGGTAGCCCTCTGGGCTTCCACCCGGGCTGGCAGGACTGTCCCGAGGAGGAGCCGCGAGCAGACCGACAAACAGCTAGCGGCTCGGGTACACACTCTCGCCGCCTCCGGGGAAGAGGGGCGAGCGCTGACGGCAGCCACCAGCGCGAAGCTCGCCCCGCGAACGCCGGAGACCCTGGAAAAGGTCCTCGAGTGCTTCCCTGAGGACGCTGCCGCGCCGGCCGCCCCAGGCGCCCGCTCGGAGCCGGACAAGGAGTTGCTCGAGGCGGTGCAGGAGGAGATCCGGCGCCTCCTTCGCAGACCAGCTCGGCTCACTGCCCCGGGCCTGCTCGGAACGAGGTTGGAGCACTTGGAGACGGCAGCGGCCAGCCAGGAGACTTTACAGCTTCTCTCCGAGGCGGTCTCCTGGGTCACCTTCGGCCTTCTTCCGGCTGGGACGCTGCAAGCCTTGCGGGTCGGCGAGGTCATCGCCCTCGAAAAAAGTGCGGACGAGGTCCGGCCTCTGCTGGTGAGCTCGGCCTGGCGGCGGCTCGGCCTGCGGGCGTTGGTCCGGGTCCGCAAGGAGCGGCTGGCGGCCGCTGCTGGCGAGCACCGGGCGCGGACCTCCTATACTGCGGTGCCTCGAGGCACAGGCGGAGGCCCGCCCCACCGCCGTCTTCCTGAAGCTTGACCTTAAGGCGGCCTTCCAGAGAGTGAAACGCCAACATGCCACCGCAGCAATGGCACGACACGACCCTGCAGTGGCCGCCGCCTTGGCCACCTGGCACGGGGGCCCGGTGGACCACTACTGGAGAGACGCCGGCGGCGCACTGCACAAGGTGCCAAGCAGCAGGGGCTTCGACCAAGGCGACCCGCTCTCTCCCGCTGGCTTCTCGGTGGCGCAGCGCGAGGCTCTCGCCGACTTCTGGGTGGAGCTCCAGAGGCTGGACCCTGCTGCCCGGCTCTACTCCTACCTGGACGACACCTACCTGGTGGTCGAGGCCGGCATCTCCCCTGCCACCCTCACTGCCCTGGAGACTGCCCTCGAGCCCTACGGCCTGGAGCTCAGCCACGCGAAGACTGCGGTCTGGCCCCCGAGCGGGGGCGCCGTCGTGCCGTCTGCGCTGCGGCCCCACTACGCGGCTGTTCTCCCGGTGCTTGGCAAGCACCTCAGGCCGCGGGGGGGCGCAGAGGACAACCCCGCAGCCCTCGGGGCGCGCGCCAACAGCCTTGACAAGGCGACCCTGCGGCTGCAGAAGCTCTGGGACACGCTCTACCGGCTCCACCAGGCGGGCCTGGCAAAGCAAGCCACTGGGGCGCTGCTGCTGACCTACGCCGGCGCCGCCAGCCATCACGCCCTGCGGCAGGAGCTGGCAAGCCGGGAAGCCACCCAGCGCTACGACGCCCGGCTAACGCGCTGCTGGGAGACGCTGCTGAGGCGCGACTTAAGCGGCGAAGCCAGGGAGCTCTTGAGCCTGCCCAAGCGCCTTGGCGGCCTCGGGGGGCAGCTGGCCTGCTCGCGGCGGAGCGCCGCCTACCTGGCCTCCTGGTCTGGCGCGGCCGAGGAGGTAGTGAGAGACCTGGGGTGCAGCTCGCTGCACGACGCCCTGGAGCGCCTGCCTGCCGCCGCGCGCAAGCTGGAGGAAGCGAGGCAGGGCCTGGCCGGGCAGGGGCTGCTGCTGGCGGACGGCGGAACGCTGGCTGACAGCCTGGCGCGCGAGCTCAAGCAGGGCTTGGCTATGGAGAAGGTGCGAAAGACACACCACGCTGCACTCCTGCAGCGTTTGCCCCTCCTCCAACGAGCCACTCTGCGAGGGCAAGCTGGGCCGGGCGCGGCAGCCTTCCTGGGCTACCCCACCGAGGCGCTCTGCGCGCTGGAGGACGCGCACTGGGAGACGGCTACTCGCCTCCGGCTGCACCTCCAGAGGCCCGAGTGCTCCCGGGACCAGCTCGCGGCGGCGACGGCCCACTGCTGCCTGCAGAACGCCAGCGGCGAGGTCTGCGGGGAGCCGCTGGACGACCTCGGCTACCACGGCGCCACTTGCCAGAGCGGCGGCGGGGTGGTGCGCAGGCACGGCCGGCTGGCTCGGCGGCTCGGCGGCCTGCTACGGCACGAGCTCCCGCTCTACGAGCAGCGGGCCCCGCTCTGGGACAGGCCGAAGCCGGGCCACCCCGGGGAGACAGAGCGCGCCGTGCTCGACCTCGAGTTCCAGGACGACGACGGGCGTCGCTGGCTCGACGTGCGGCGCCCCGCCGCGGGCACCGAGGCGGAGCAGCGGGTCGCGGCCCGTCGCGACGGCGAGGCGAGCCGGCGCGGAGAGCGAGGCGCGCTCGTTACCCGGGGGAGCGCCTCACCCCGATCATCCTCGAGGCGGGGGGGCGGCTCGGGGCCGAGGCGCGCCTCTGGCTGAAGGCAGAGGTGCGACGCCTGCCTGGCGCCGAGCAGGCCCGCGAGCTCGCCCGCGCGCACCGCGTGCTCTCCTGCGGCCTGCATGGCGAGCTGGCGCGGCAGCTGCGCGCGGCCGCTGGCTTGCGCTGAGCTGACCGCGGGCGGCGCGCTGGCGCCTGGCCACCTGGGGCAGCTGAAGCGGCGGCGGCGGCGGCGGCGCGCCGGCGCCGGGGCGCTGGCGGCGACTGCGGCGCCGGGGGCGCCTGAGGCTCCCGCGGCGACGGCGGCTGCGGCCGCGCTGTTCGGCGCGGCGCGGCGCGACGTGGGCGGCGGCGGCGCGGCGCGGCGCGGACGGCGGCGGCGCTGCTCGGCTGGCTGCGCCGGAGTCTGCCGCGCCGGGCGCCACCGCGAGCCGGCGCTGCGCCGCTGCCGCGAGCTGGCGTGGAGCCAGGCGCGGCGGGCCGGCGCCTCGGGCGGCTGGCGACCTGGCGACTGGCGGCGGCGGCAGCGCCTCGGGCGCCTGGCGCCCCGGCGGCGGCGGCGGCGCACTGCTTGGCGGGCGGCCACCTGCTGCGCTGGCCGGCGGCTGGAGGGCGGCGCAGGGCGGGTGCCGCCGGGGCGTCGGCTTGGGTGCGGGCAATTCCCGCCCCCTGGGAGAAGTCCTGCTGGGATTTCTCCCGGGGTGGGGCGCCAGCAGCAGGCTGCGCCTGTGTGCTGGCGCGGGTTTGCCTGTGCCCTTGCTAATGCTCCTCCCCGAACAGACTTGGTGCGCAGTGTCTGTCTGTCTTTCTGTCTGTGTCTCTGTCTATGTCTCTGTCTCTGTCTCTGTCTCTGTGTCTGCCTGTCTGTCTGTCTGTCTGTCTGTCTGTCTGTCTGTCTGTCTGTCTGTCTGTCGGTCTGTCTGTGTGTCTGTGTGTGTGTGTGTGTGTGTGTGTGTGTGTGTGTGTGTGTGTGTCTGTGTCTCTGTGTGCGTGTCGTTGTCTGTGTCTGTGTCTGTGTCTGTGTCTGTGTTTGTGTCTTTGTGTGTGCTTGTGTGCGTGCGTGTCTGTGTATGTGTCTCGGTGTGCGTGACGGTGTCTGTGTCTGTGTCTCTGTCTGTCTGTGTGTCTATGTGTGTATGTGCCTCTGTGTGCGTGTCGGCGTCTTTGTCTGTGTGTACGTGTCGGTGTATGTGTTTGTGTCGGTGTCTGTGTCTGTGTGTGTTTGTGTGTGCGTGTGTGTTCGTGTGTGTGTGTGTGTGTGTGTGTGTGTGTGTTCGTGTGTGTGTGTGTGTGTTTGTGTGTATGTGGTGGGGGGGGGCTGGGTGAGTTGGTGGGTGGCTGGGCGGGTGGCAAGGGGGATGGGGAAGATCGAGAGGGAAGGCGGGAGGGAAGGCGGAGTGGGGTAGGTGAGAAAGAGGGGAGGTGGAAGGGGAGCCCTGGGGGAGAGGGGGCGGAGGGGGGGGGAGGCGTGAAGAAGAGGGGGGGCGGGAGGGGGAGGTGGAGGGAGAAGAGGGGGAGGTGGAGGGAAAGGATGGGGAGCAGGAGGAGGAGGAAGAGCAGGAGGAGGAGCAGGAGGAGGACGACGACGACGTGGGGGAAGGAGGGGCAGGTCAGGAGGAGGGAGGGGAAGCGAGATCGCTGGCGGAGCTCGCCCTGATCGGGGCTGGAGAGCGGGCGCGAGTCGACAGGCCCTCGAGCCGCCTGCGGGGAGGGTGGTGCGGTAAGTCGACGAACAACAATTGCATAAACATGATTTCTCGGCACTCCGCGCGGTCAAGCTGTCCCAAGCTGTGAAGGAGTGGTGTGACCAGAAGGTGAAAGAGGGACAACTGAACGGGAGCCTCTTCTGGACCACGCTGCGCCGGGAAGCGGCGCAGCCACCAGCCGAGGCATGAGCCCACTGTTGAAAAGAAGTGCCAGTACCCTCTCTCTTATCCGCAGCTGCGGGGGACTAGGCAATTTCTCGGCGCTCCGCGCGGATTTCTTGGATCTGCGCAGGGCGCCACTGGCGGCGCCTCCGGCGCCGCCCCCGGCGTTTGCGCGCCAGGGAGGGGGGTCCATCGCAGATCCAAGAGCTCCGCGCGAAGCGCCGAAAGTTTATGATTGTGTTCGTTTGGTCCTCTCTAGCAAGAGGAGGGTGAGGAGGAGGGGGAGGAGGAGGAGGAGGAGGAGGAGGAGGAGGAGGAGGAGGAGGAGGAGGAGGAGGACGACGGCGATGGGGAATGGGAGAGGGGAAGGGGCCGACGCGCGAGGAGGACGAGGGCGAGGGCACGAACATCACCGCCATCTACCGCGTGGCGATTGACGTGATGATGATGCGGATGCAACGCAGGCAGATGGCGGATAGGCCAGGCACCCTCCCGCCCTCCTGCCCCTCCCGCTCTTCCCTCCCTCCTCATCCTTCCTCCTCCACCTCCGTCGTCATCCTTCCATAGTTTTCCTTCTTCTTCCTCCTGTCTTTCCTTCCTCCCCTTCCCCTCGTCGGCCGTGCTTATCGTCTTCCTCCTCATCCTCCTGCTTCTCCTCGTCCTCGTCCTCATCCCCGTCCTCTGCCTCCTCCCGTGACGTTCGATATGTTTCGCCCCCTCTGCCCAGTGCTGGTCCTCCCTCCTTCGCCTCCTGCTGCTTCTCATGCTCGCCCTCGGCCATGCTCGTCCTGCTCATCCTCTTCGGCGCTGGGCATCCCTGGCGCGCTGCGCGCGCCAGGAAGGGGGTTACCAGTGCAGATCCAAGAACAGCCTCGCGGACCTCCAGAAGTGTTGTCTTTGTGCAGTTGCTTGATCATCTCTCGTCCCCATCGCCATGGCCGCTGATGCCCCAAGCAGTACGTTGCGTGCAAGCAAAGGGGGACTGAGCTGCAGTGCTTCAGCTCGAGCGGAAGGTGATCTCAAATACGGTTCGGCTAGCTGGTCGCTGATCGAAACCTCCTGGAGCTCCAGTGGCGCGTCCCAAACAGGGGTCTGTCTTGCTACCTTCACGATTTGGCGTGATGTTTCAAGTCCTTCTGCGTGGAACCTTGGGCAGCTGTGCCCACGAAATGCTGCTTAGTGATTGAGCCACGAGGGCATGTCGGTGTCATCTCGGTTGACCTCCTTGCTGGCTACACAAAATGGGCCGTTGCCGCAGTCGGTGTTGCTTTCCATGCGCCGCCAGACTGTCTCTGGCTGTCCCCGCCGCCGAGAGTGTCATTGGGCTGGATTGTCCCCGACTGCCTCTGGCACTGCCGATTCTTTGGTTCGGCGCTGTCCCCGACAGCCCCTGACTGATGCTTGCCCTCCGTTGCTTCCAATTCGCTTCGTTCGTCGCGGTCTCCGTTTGTCTCCAGTATTGGTGGCTTTCGGCCCATCCCGCCATTGTGTTTGGATAATGGCACAGGTGGCCTTTCTGACTGAGAGCCTGCAGTGAGGCGGGGAGGGAGCTCGGGCAGCAGGAACGACTGAAGGCCACAACGTGTTCCCAGCTAAGCTGGTCTGCCGTGCTGGGCTGTCGTGCTCGTCTGCTGTGCACGTCTGATTTACCGTCTGGCAGAGCCGATCTGGTCAAACTTGGTCTGCCATGCTGGTCAGTTTGGGGCCTCTCGGAGGCCTTTGGGGTCTCGGAGGCCACTTGAAGGCCTCTCGGGGTCCCCCTGGGGGGCCTCATGGGGGCCTTTGCGGGGCCACTTGGGGATTTTGAGAGTATCTCGGAAGCAGATTTCCAACCGTGCCCCTGAGGGTTCCCTCGCGTTTCCCCCGTGAGGGCCGGGCCATCTCGGGGGCCCAGTGGGCTCCTTGGAAGGTACGGGGCCGTCTTGAGGCGATGTTGGGAGCCTCCTGGGCCGTCTTTAAAACGACGCGAAGATCGGGACAACATCGGATCGGGATAACTCGAAATCTCTGAGAATCGGCGGGTTTGTAGGATGTATTGGGCGCCGCGGCCGCTCCAGAGCGTTCCGGAACGCTCTGAGAGCGCTCCAGAACGCTCTGGAGCGATTTGTCCCGATCCCAGCCCTGTTTTAGTCTTCGTAGGACATTCATCATAACCAACATGGCGAGAGCATCGGTACCTGCCTTCGTCGACTCCACGCACGAGCTTGCGGATCATGTCGGCGGCGACATCCCAACCCGATCCTCGCCGATGAACGACCCAGGCAACTCGAGGAGCGGCGAGGGTAGGTTTCGGAACTCGTCGAACACGTGGCGAAATCAGAACCCGCCCCCCGCCCCCCATCCATTCGGGAGAACCGACGGTTGGTGGCGGTAGGATTCGGATGCTGCCGCTTAGCATACGGCAGCGACGAGCATGGTGTGATATTCGGTGGCGCGCCAGGGGGGGACGCGAGGAGCAGCAGGCCTTCTCCGAAGGCGGCGGGGCTTCTCAGAAGCCCTCCGGCCTTCCGAGAAGCGTCCGCCACCTTCGGAGAAGAATTCCCTCCCTCCCTCCCTCCCTCCCCTCCCTCCCTCCCTCCCTCCCTACCTCTCCGAAGGCCCTCCCCTCCCTCCCTCCCTCCCCTCCCTCCGTCCTCCCTCCCTCCCTCCCTACCTCTCCGAAGGCTCGAGGCCTGCCGAGCCCTCTGAGGAGGCCCGCCCCTGCTCGGACGCCCGGTGTTGTTTTGTTCGGTCCCATAGCTCGGCTCGCTGGTGGCCGCTCGCGGCGATCCGGGCACCTCCAGAGCGCTCTCGGCCAGGCGCAGGTGCTCCGAGCATGCCGTTTCGAAGGATGTTCGAGGCTGGAATCTGCAGAAGGTGCATCACTAGACGGATGGATCCTCGAGGTGCCAAAGCCCATGTGGAGTTCACCATGAGCCCTCCACCCTGAGGAAATGCCCAGTTGCCCTGGAGGAGGAGGAGGAAGGGGAGGAGGACGAGGAGGAGGAGGAGGAGGAGGAGGAGGAGGAGGAGGAGGAGGAGGGAGAGGGGGAGGAGGAGGGGGAGGTGGAGGAGGAGGAGAAGGTTGACGGCTAGTAGGAGTAGGATGAGGAGGAGGGGGCTGGTGGGAGGGGGAGGGGAGGAGGAGGAGGGGGAATTGAGGAGGGTTAGGGTAGGAGGGAGAGAGGACCAATAAGTAAGTAAACAGCCGAAGACTAGACGAATAATAATAATAACTTAAGACGATGAAAGAAGACTTTGAGGAAGGAGGGGGAGAAGGAGGAGAGAGGGAAGGGAGAGAGAGAGGGGGAGGAGGAGGGGGAGGTGGGGAGGAGGCCCTGGGAGGAGGAGGGAGGAGGGGAGGAGGAGGAGGGAGGTGGAGGAGGAGGAGGAGGAGGAGGACCAGTGTAAACCCGAGACTAGCCAACGATTTTGGAATACACCCTTCCTCCAACCTCCCTCTTCTTGGGCGCCTACAAGGATTCATTTCCACTGGGGGAAGTGCCCCGTTGGGGAACAACCGTGTGAAAATCCTGAAGCGCACGAGAACACCATTCTCAGGTGTTCAACGCCACGAGGCGAGCTGACTATTGCGTCTGGACGATCCAGAACTGTGCCAGAGCACAATTCATGGGACTCCAACGCCGCGAATCAACGTAAGTGTTGCGCCCTGACAGTCCTGAATCGCTTCAGCACATAATTTCTGGTGGGGTAGCCACGAGAACCAGTGAAACTCTTCCAACTGTCAAAACTCATATGTGCGGCGCTAAGGCGAGCGCCACATTTTGAAAAGGAGCCGCCCTCAATCCGTTAAGTTCCTGCAGTTTTTGAAATTAATGTGCGAGGCGCGATGTCGAGAGCCACATGTTGAAAAGGAACCGCCCTAAATACGTCAAACTCGTACAACTGTTTGAAACGAATCTGCGCTGTGCTACTGCGAGAGCCACAGAGAGGAAACCACACGACCTCCATCTATGAAGCTGCTGCCAGTTGTTCAGCTGGAGGTTCGCAGATGCTAAGAAAGTCTCAGACGAAATGCCGGGTCCGCCGTTCCGACTGGCCTCGGGGTGCGACAGGGAGGAGTTATTCATCAAGAAGGGAACGGAAGGAGGAGGAGGAGGAAGAGGAAGGAGGAGGAGAAGGGCGGAGGAGGGAGGGAGGAGGAGGAGGAGGAGGAGCAGACGGCAGTCGTGGAAGCGATCTCCGTGGTTGCTGGTGAGGGGGAGCAAGACTCAGCATGGGACGTGGACGGCGCGGATCTGGAGCAGCTTCGAAAGAACATCACAGAGGTCCGCAAGCCCGATGGTTTCCGTCCTCGCTCTGTTGTTGGCCCCTACTAACGCGATGGTGGTTGCTCAACATGACCAACGATACCCACACGATACCATTCGCAGGATTGAGCAATGGAAGTTGCGGAACAGATCTGGTACCATTCTTTCGGCTGTACTTGTGTTATCAGTGAAGCCTCTGTGGGATGAGGATTTCCTACCCGACATTGGCTCAGAATGCGGTGCTCCGATCATGGCCTGGGATGTGCATTCCCCAGGGGCGAGGACGAATGCAGCGATTGGTGGCAGCTTCGGCGCTGAGAAAAGTACTTCTCGCATGGCCTGGGATGTGCATCCCCCGGGGGCGAAGACATGTGCAGCGACTGGTGGAAGGTCTGCGTCAAGGGAGTCGACTTCGGGCACCACGTCTGGAGCTACGAGGCCACCAGACCCGGAGACGGCTGAGGAGGCCCAGCTGGGGCATCAGGCTCCAGGAGCAATGGAACGGATGCCACCATAATTTCAGACGAGGAGCGAGTACGCAGACCTGTATGAGGACCTCACGTACTGGGCGGCGATATGGATTCACGACATTGCGGGTGGCTTGGGAGGCAATCCTTTACGTGACTGGACTAGCTGGTGCGAGCCGTATCTTCAGGAGATACGGGAGCCACCTCTCAACAGGCATATCCGACGCGAGTTGCTGGACCTGCTTGGTAGACGCATTGGCAGGGAATGGGAGATTGGAGAGGCGATCGGATACGTGCGTGTATATATATATATATATATATATATATACGTAGCACCCCGCAATTGCGGATAAGAGTGAGGGGGCGGGCGCGGGCGACGCGGGCGTCGTCGAGCCGGCGAACCTCGTGGCCCCCACCTTCCTTGTCGATGGCGCTCTCCTCCACCTCCTCCTCCTCCTCCTCCTCCTTCTCCTCCTCTTCCTCCTCCTTCTCCTCCTCCTCTTCCTCGTCCTCATCGTCATCGTCATCCTCCTCCTCCACCTCGTCCTCCTCCTCCTCCTCTTCCTCGTCCTCCCTCTCCCCCCCTCGTCTTTTCATCATGGTCCTCCCATTGTCGTCCTCCCCCTCATCGGCCTCCATCATCGTCCTCCCATTGTCGTCCATCATCATCATCATCCTCCCCATCCTCCCCCTCCTCGTCCTCCTCCTCCCCCTCCTCCCCCTCCTCCCCCTCGTCCTCCTGCTCCTCCTCCTTTTCTTTCT